ATTCTTGCACAAGTCCTTTGTACTTGTGCCATACTGTGCTGGGCACTGTGGGAGGAACCACACATATCAGGCTGCCGCCTTCCAGGAATTCACCGTCTAATTAGGGAGAAAGGCAAAGTTAAGAGGATGTAGGAAGAAGCCTCCAAAGCAGCATTTGCTTCTTATTCCGAGGCTGGGTCGGTGGCCACGGCGTCTACCCACACCTGTCCGTACCAGAGATTCACAGAAGGCACGGGCACCAGGCATCGTGGCACGACTCCACGATGCCACCAAAGAGCTAGAAAAACTAACACAGCTGCAAACAGTGTGCTACCTGGGTTAGTCCTGGAGCTGAGCAAGGAGCTGAGCAAGGACAAAGGACAATACCCCAAAGTGCAGATTTGGGCAATGTGAAGAAACCTGATAAACCCAGTCAGGACAATCAAAAGGGCCATTTGCACAGTCTGATGTGAATGAACCCAGTCAGGACAATCGAAAGGGACATTTGCAGACTGGTGCTTGCCAAGAGCAGCAAACCAAGTAGAGGATTAAATTAGAGAAAGGTATCATTTGAGCTCAAACCATGGTTTATGTCTGACTGTAAAGAATGGAAATGCTTCTGGAACCATATGAGGTGTTGTCATGGGAAAAGGCGCATCTATCGGTGGGAAGAGATGACACTTGTGCCGAGAGACTCACCTTGGATCCCTGTAACTCAGCTGATACTCAGATTTGGTGAACTTCTAGCTACTGATCTCTAAAATGGGCCCAGTGATCATAGCCTATGCATCCAAAGGGTGAAGGATTCAAGAAAATAATGAATAAGAAATCTTGAAATCTCAGCATTTTAGAAGAATTATAACATTACCCTGTAATGATGTAACACAATAAAGCCCTGCATGTCTGTCCTTACAGCTGATGGGCATGGTCCTGCCATGGCCAACATGGCACCTAGGGCACAGTAAAAGCTTGTTGTAGAGTCTTTTGCTTTTGCTGTTTGTTTTGGTTTTTAGATGTGTTTGTGTTCTGTTTGTTGGTTGGTTTTACTGTTTGTTTGAGACAGGTTCTCACTATGTAACCCAGACGGCCTTCGACTTAGAACAATAATTCTGCCTCAACCTCTGTGCTGTTTAGTATGTATTCACTCTCCTGACAGAAGATGTCAGTGATTTCTCTTGGTGACCAAGCCGTACCTGCAGGCACTGTGAGCTGCAGTGGAAACTGAGGTTGGAGGTTAAATGTTCACAGACTGACCCCCCAGGAGAAGCAGAATCTGAATCCAGAAGCCGCTTCTCAGCCCTTCATGCTCTAAAACTATACCAAGGAGTGTGTCATGAGAGTCTAAGCCCTGGGTCACTGCCACAAAGCACAGGGATTGTCCTAGCGGAGCCAGGAACTGCTCCTGGAGCCATACCTGCTCCCGGGGGAGAGGAGCGATTTTAACTGGTGTTTCTGAAGGAAAGGATACAATAACATCTTTGTTGTTGCCGCAGGATCTGGGGGAAAGTCGGGGTGGCTGACCATCAGGGCCAACTGGACAAAAGCCTGTAGAAAATCTGCTGTGCAGGGGCCAAAGGAAGCTCCTGCAATGCCCACGAAGAAGCCTTGCAGTGGCCAGTGCCTGAGCAGGGTCCAGGTCTCCAGGATGCACATACTGAACCTCTGTGTGGGGAACAGAGCTATTCTGTCCTGGAAGAAGAGTGTGACCCACCTCCCCTCCCTTGGAATCGGCTGGGTACCCACATGGCCCCTGCACAGCACCCCAGCTCCGACTCTCACCCACAGCCTCACACAACCTGAGACCCTCTCTGGCCCTTATAGCCAGTCTAACACCTCAGCTTCAGAAAAGCCTGCTGTGAGGTAGGCAGCCAGTCTCCTGCAGCTGCTCTCCAGGGAATCACTGCCCAGAGACTCAAAAGAGACCCCAAAGCAGATGGGGTTCCACACAAGGAGGAATTGCTTATCATCCAGGAAGAGAAAGGTGATAAAAATGAGAGGTTTTCAAAGCACAGCTGGGTACCATGAAAGCTTCATCTTCATCATCAAGTTGACTGAATTTGGAATCTCTGGGGTGTGCGTGAGAGATTTTTCAGAAAGGTTTAGCTGAGATGGGAAGACCTACCTGAATGCGGGGAGAATCATCCCATGGCCTGGGGCTCTAGACTAACTACAGAGAAGAGAGCAAACTGGTCGCCACCATCCATCTCTGCTTCCTGACGGAATGCTATGTGATGTGAACAGCGGTGGAAGCTCCTGCTGCCATGCCTCCCCTGATGGACTGCACCTTCAAACCATGAGCCGAAGTAGACCCCTCCTTCCTCAACTTGCTAAGTATTCTATCATAGTCGTGAGGGGGAAAAAAAAACTACAGCTGGACTCCAAAGGAGGATGTTGGATAATTGAGTCAGGAAGAGAAGCAGCAAGATTTAAAGGAGCTTCATCAGAATTGTGCCCAACTCTACATTCATTTAAAAGAAAAAAATTTAAATCAACTTTACTTTGAATCCTACAAGGAAAGCCCAGACAGGCAGAAGGAGAACTTCAGAAACTATACAGATCAAGAGACAGGGGCCGTGAGGCCACACCCTGCTCCATACAGACCGTCACAGACACAGCCCCCTTCCCGACAAGGCCTGCCTCAGAGCACATCTCCTCTGAGCTCCATAGAAACCACACCCATGGCTCTTAACACCCCCACCTCCCCTCCATAGCCCTCTCCTCTCCTTCCTTCTGGGGGCTAGAAGTTTTCGTATGAGCCCCATGCTGGACTCCTTCCTCTCCTTTGGGGAAAGGATGCAAGGAGCTGTGGACTCTGTGTTTTGAAATTATCACCCTCTGCTATTGCAAAACTCATCTTACAGAGGCTTCCCGAGCTACTTCAGATGTGCCTCCAAGCATCTTTAGGTACCAAGTCAACTTCTTATTCCTTGCCGGAAACTTGAGAGTCTCTTTCAGCCCACAGCCTGAGAAGTCACCTCAGCATGGTGGGACAGAGCCTAGGCTGGAGAGAGATGGAGTTAAACTTCTCTTGTTGATACTGCCTCCTCAAGGAAAGGGCTATCCACAGAGCCAGCTGGGCCACCTCCACACCTCCCTCTCATCTGCTTCTCCCTAGTTCCAGGCCTTCCACTGTTGTTAGCCAGTTCTTGGCTGATGGCATTTCTGGAAAAAAATCACTACCCAACTTGGCTCCTAGGCACAAAGCCACAAACCTGCCGCCCCAGCCAAGACAGGGGGTTTGAATTCTCTGGTGGTGCTGGAAGAGGATGTTAGCCCATTGCAAGCAAACACCTTCCAAAGTCAAACAAAAACTGCCCACAAGTAAATAGCATATGACATAGCCCCTTCCAGTGGCCACTTAGGAGAAACCCAAGTCCATGGTCTGCAGCAGGGGAGTAGGTTGCAGGCTGCAGCAGCTGTCAGTGAGGCCCACCCTGCAGCAGGGGAGTAGGTTGCAGGCTGTAGCAGCTGTCAGTGAGGCCCACCCTGCAGCAGGGGAGTAGGTTGCAGGCTGCAGCAGCTGTCAGTGAGGCCCACCCTGCAGCAGGGGTAGCTAGCTGGACCTGCCTGGAAGTCAGGAGGTAGGGAGTCGGGAGACTGTTCTGGCATCAGAAACCACAGGCAAGGCAGCACCAGAGACATGAGTAACAGCATACTCAATTATTACCAGAATTATCACTTAGCCTGGTTCTGAAGGACAATGGATTTTACAGAACTTTGACCACTAAGATAGTTGAGGGGTTAAAGACACCACCATGCTGAGTTCAATCCCCAGAACCCACACAGAAGAAGGAAGGAACAGAAGGAAGAACAGACTCCTAAAAGTGGTCCATGACTGGAGACCACTAACACCCCTCAGAGAACATGGCTGTGGTTCATACTTTTTGGATGGCAGGCTTGCTCCTGAACCAGGAATCCAGTAAAATCCGAGTTCTTACCCCACACTTCCAGCCATGCCTCTTTCAGACTTAGATTTCATGCTCATAAGGCCTGGAGAAAGGCCAAATAGAGGCCTCAGCATCCCGTGAGCCCCAGCCCCCGCTGCTCAGGCCTCCGCATCTGGCCCTCACATCTGCTCCCACACTGACCTACTTCCTACGAAGGACTCTCGGAATTCCTGGCCCATGGGTCAGCTTCCCAAGAAGCATCTGTGGGGAGCGCCCATCTGCCCCCCAAAAACCTGAAGAGAAAGGGATCCCTCAGGGGGTTCACAAAGCAGACAGGGACACTCCCACCTCTCCACACTCCCTTCTTCCTCCTCCCGCCTGGAACCCTCGGCTGGAGACTATGAGAAGCAGAATGTACCAGCCTTGAGGGTTAACATCAGTACCTCAGCTAAAGCCACGTGGGCAGATTTTCAAATTCTTGGTGTCTGTGAGGTTGGGATGGAATCAAATCCAGAGAGGGATTCCTCGGAGCAAACAGCTCCCGCACAACTGCTCCATCGTCCCCTGTCCAGCAGGTAGGGAGGGGAGGCCATGGAATCTCGGCAGTGAGATTTGCATCAAAGGTGATGCGAGGCACTGATAAAAAAGATTAATACACCGCTAAGCCACAGCACCCTGTGGAATTCACGCACCTCTGAGAGGAAGGGGCGACTCCAGAGGCTCCCGCCCATCAGATCTGCCTTGGGTTCCCCAAGGGCATCCTTTCCTCTCCGCCTTAGGGTTGGTCAGCAAGCATTTTACTTAGATGCCTGTTCAGCTACGGTGTGTGTGTGTGTGTGTGTGTGTGTGTGTGTGTGTGTGTGTGTGTGTGTGTGT